AAATACTTAGCTATGTCCATTTTTGTATTTAAATATAATAATATAATATAATATAATATATAATAATATTTCAAAAATCAATGAGTAATGAGTGCATTTCTAGATATTAGAATTATTATTATTTGAACGTAAGCTGTGTTTACCAAGATCATTTTCTAATTCTTTGTTGACGCACACAGCAGGAGTTTGACATTTTACCACTGCAACGATGAAATGAACACATGGTCGCAGTTGCTTTGGCATCACAGCTCGCAGCTTCCCCACGCCTTACGATTGAATGGATGCCAATCCCTGGTTGGCTTACTCGTAACTTTGAAAACTCCGTAACAGCAAAATAAATAAATAAATAAATAAAAGCTACAGCAGTGGTAACAAGATGTCGGATTGCACCAGCGATTTCTGACTATGTAGAACGTTTAAGCTCAAAATGCAGCAGCACTATAATCACATCCACATAACAAGTTAAATATGGAAACACAAGCTCTTACCGAGCTTCAAAGCCATTCCTCGTATGATTCCGTTTAGACAGAAGCGCAGATGACGGCAGGACTGGATGATTAGCAGACACAGCTATGTAGCTAGCTGCTGACAGCAAGGTTTCGCCGCCAAGAGTCAAGTTGGTAAATGCGAAAAACAAAACCACAAAGAGAGTGTACTTGCTCGGGTTCACCTACAGGGCATCAACCCTCTGACATTTGTTTCTGTCGATGTCGCCGGAAAATAAACTCCACTGCGCCTTACTGCAATTTACACTTTTTCGAAAGCACTGACGGTCTGTACAGGTCTCAGTCACGTGGTCTGCTCTGCTTTAGGTTCAGAATCATATTGTTTGGTTTAGAAGAAAACGTGGCTCAAAGTATCACAAAAGATGTGCATGAAGATGATTTTTGGTGATTTTTATACGCAGTGGTGCAGTCTTTTAAAAGGCTGTATATTAAAACAGTTTCCATCCCTCGACCCAATATGAAGCTGCAGTTTGTTGTTGCTGTACCACTGATGGCCAGTAGGGGCTAGCGCCAAAAACTACAAGACATAGAGACGTGAAATAATTAATTTCATAATATTTTCAATATTTTTCTCACTGTCAGTGAACTGCTAGCTTTATATTATTCACTATGGCTTTAAAATAAATATATAATATTAAAATAAATAAGTTGTATATAATACATTGGTGGCTTTAGGGATTTTTAAATGTGCCTAAAAAGCAGCTGCAAACATAAACAGTGACTGCAGTTTAATTTCTTCTTACCACTAGTTTAGTTGTGTGGGGGGAAAAAAAACACCAAACGATTCAGATTTGGAGAAAAAAAACACCAAACGATTCAGATTTAGGAACATTAGCTTCTTATATCCATATGAAAATAGCATTAGAAGACAAAATTATCAAAAACATCTTAAACGGAACAGAATTCAGTTACAGTTGTAAGCTGACACAAAAAATAAAAATGTTTGAAAAAGAAAAAAAAAACATGTTTCTCAATAAGTTAATAATGTCAGGCTGGTGACGGATTAGTCCAGAATCCATCACCACTCAGTATTTGGCTTGTAGTATTTCTTATTGATATTACTACTGTGTGCCCTGCGTGGTACATACACGTAAAAAAAAAAAAAAAGTTAATTTACAAAGTACTTCTCTGTTAGTTGAGTGTCCACATTTCTGTCCTCATTATCACACGAACCAGAGATTTATCTTCAACTCAAGCCTTAGATGATATGGTATTGTATGGTATGGTATTTAAACAGGGTTTAACGGGAATGTTGTTTCCACCAGATAATAATAAAGTGCTGGAGGAATGAACTTCTGTCACTGCTTTTCTTTAAAAAATTTCTTACTCACTTACATTTATTTTTCCTTGATTGGTGTAAAAAATTGACTTGCTGAAATAAAAAAAAATTTACTTGCACTTTCTGTATATTTTTATGTAAACAGTGTCAAATGGCCCTAATTTTTAAAACAAGGGGATTTTTGTGGTTGTGGTTGGGGGTTCTACTGCCCCCGGAGGACCAAAGGTGTTGGTGTAGGACTTTATATTCGATCAAATGTGTCATTTCTGCAGCACGTTGTTCAACTTTTTCACGTCTTATGTTTGAATCAACCAGTCACCTGAAGTTAGTTACCTGAAACTAGTCTTTGCAGTATTTCCACAAAAAGCAAAATCCACAGTAAATGGAAGGAAAAATAA